TCCCTGTCCCTCTCCGGCCGGCTGCTCCCTCTGGCTATCACGCCACACTCCAGTCGTCACCCCTCCCTCCCCACCCCCTCAATCACCCAATAACCCACGTGTCACATGTCACCGGGGTGATCTGATCGAACCGTGACCCCGTCGTAAGGTCAGGTCAGGTCAGCGTATGACCTTTCACACCTTGCCACAAGGGTCACGGACCGACGGAAGCGGTTCGAACAATCATCACCTCTGGCTCAGGTTATTTTCAGCGCTGGTCGGTGGGAGGCTCCGCCCCGCTTTTGTTATGCTAGCTCCGCTCCTCAGTGGGTCGGACACCAGTGAAGGTGGCCGGTGGGAGCCGATGATTGGTGACGCTGGTGCCGGTCGGTGCTGGCGGTGACGGTGATGGTGATGGTGATGACGTGGTGGTGATGACGCGTGCCGACTGGTGACGGGTGCTGTCAGTGCGATGACGAACACCATACTGAAGAACAATGAGTATGATAGGAGCGGCCACCGAGACGGCTTCTGTTCGGCGACGCGTGTAAGTACTGAACACTGTAACATATTGTGACATTACCAGTCATATCACGGTACCAATTGTACCGCAGTACTACCCAGTACCGGCTTGAGTAACGCGGTACGAGTCATGAGTACCGTGGTATGAGCTACCACCGGCGTCACCTGAGTACCTACCGCGAGAACACCCAGACACATACTCCTCGCCCGACGACGTCGATACACTGAGTCTGTTCACTCCCTCGTCGCTAGCTGTATGAGATGAGCTGCAGACTCGGCCCCGACCAATCAGTGACCGCTCAGCCGACCAGGAGAGGCAGAGCTTCTGCAGCCCGGCCCGGCGGCTGCCAAAGCTCGGCCCGGCGGCCGCTGAGCTGCCGCAGCCGCCGCGCTGTGCTGGCCTCGGAGTGGCGAGCAGGGATCATAGACGAGCGTCCCGCACCGCCTCGGAATGCATAAATGACGCCGCTTCCTCCTACCCTGGCCACTTGGGAGTGTGTCCGACTTCTGGCTATTTTTGTCGAGCTGGTTTTGTTTGGAGTTGGCAGCCAGGCTGTGTTCTGGCCAGGCCGCTACAATAAATGAGAAGGAAAATGTTAGTGTTTTTTTCAACTGTTGGGTGGAAAGCTCAGATGCCTCTGCTGCAGTTTTCTTTTCTGTTTGGTGACAAAGTGATATCTTAATTCCGGCTTAAACAATAAATGTAAGCTCTTAATCGCTATCAATTCTTAATTGAAAGGAGCGCGTCTTATCAGAAAAGTGGCAGGATCAAAACTAAGGATGAAGACATGCTAAATATCATTCAACTAATTAAATGATTAAATCAATTTAGTAACATGAGCACGCAATTAAATAACGAACCGCGCTGGCTGTCAAGAAAGACAGCTCATTTATACAGAGTCGATCATCATAAAAAGGCAAATGTAATTCAAACGCCAATCAAAGTTATTTCTCCCTTTCATCTTTCCTATCATAAACAACGACTGGACAGCTTCACTCACCATCTGAGAGAAAGCACGCAAGCCTATCATATCACAGGACGGCGTCTAGTTTATGTTTATCTGTGGCCGGCCAGGCGCCGTGTTGGGGTCCGGTCGTGGGCGTTCGCTTCTATCGGCCTGCAGCGGCCGAGGTCCCGTCAGCGAGCGAGCTGGTTCAGGCATCGTTCAGTGCCCCGCAAGGTCGTAAACCGACACTGTGGTGAAGTCTGGATCCGTCGGTCGGTGGGTAATATCAGTAGGCCAGAGGTTCATGGGTTGTTTAGTCTGTGGGCCTCGTATGCTGCAAAGTTCAAGTTTACATGACACATACAAATAGTTTGTGATGTGAAGGATTTTATGACTAGGTACCAAAACAAAGACTTAGTCATGACTGACTCAGTGCTGTTTGTGAAGCACAGTATGTGAACTTAAATACTATCGATACTTTGCTTCAAGGCTTAAGCATGCGATGTGGTGTCTAAATGTCATTTTATAATCTTACAGCGTTCTAATTTTATATATAAGCTATTTATTCAAACTTGATGACTTTTCCCCGTGTATCACCAACAATCCTACCTGCATTCAATACAAACATCATGTGGTACTGTTCGTATTTAATTTTGGCTCACGTGGTGACCTGACCTGACAGAACAAGACAGCCCGTCGTCGTGAACTCTTGACCCCAGCCAACTGCGCCTTTCACTTCTATTTTTCGGCTCAATCAGACTCGTAATCGATGTTACAATCGTTCGTTGCTCGTCGATCAACTGAACAACGACTATACTAGCTCAGTTGGCAGCAGGGATGGGGTGTTATGCTCGCCTTTGATGCGACCCTGCCGACCTTTGACCTGACCCTAATCTCTAACAGCATTTTGTTCTTTGTTCCAGGTGAGTACCGATGACTGTGGACTGGTGGACATTCGAAGGAGCTATGCGGCGTGTATTTCCAGATAAGTTCTGCTGCGAGAACTATGTGTACACTGTAGACGGAGCCTTTCCGAAACAGCGAGTTCAATTTAGCCTCAGTTCTTCCTATCTAGGTATCGATTCCAACAGTCCTATCTTCAGTATAATTACCATTCTCCGTAAAAATAATCAGTAAGTTTGATATACCGAAATTCATGGGACTATTTGCAACAACTGCTTGTTGTTGGCGATGCTGATACGCAAGCGTCTGTGTCTATTGTGACGTTCTCCTACACATGGTGTGTCAAAAGTGGAAATAGCCGGTGCGCCGTCTGGCAACCCGGCAGCCCGCCGCCATAGGGAAATTCATGCTTTTTGTCGCTTTTTCACTCCCTATGAGTCACTTGATCTAATTAGAGCTTAACTAGGAACGAGGCGGGTCACTTGGATGTATTCGGGAGCCGAATACGGTGTTTTGGAGCCAATACCTGGGAAACCCTACCCGCCTAATGCGAGTTTTTAACCCGCGCCGTGCTGGTGGCCTGAACTTTCCGCCGAGTGCTGGGGGGGGGGCGTTTTCACGCCCCCCCGTCTAACTCGGCTCCTGGGCCACGTAGCGACACGCGGTAAGCGGCAATCGAAAGAGCGTCAAAAATAAGGACGAAAACACTTCGGTCATTTTTTGGGTCAGGTCAAAGGTCAGGTCACCAGAGGTCACCAAAGGTAAAATGTTGACTATTTCAACATTTTGGAAACTGCCAACGGCTATCTCGGGAACCGATAGAGCTACAGCGCCGCGGAAAAGCGCATTCGATAGCCCTTTTACAGACCTTTCTGAGTAATGTTCTCAGATTTGACCTCAGGTCAACGGTTTAGCCTCCAGAGGGCAAAAACTCCAAAAATAGCCGTTTTTACGAAAAACGTTTTTTCGTCAATAACTTTTGACTCATAAGCGCCATGACATTACTTTTGCCAGCATCGTGTTTCTCTCGTCGAGACGCGTCGAATGAACTATTTGTTGACCTTGAAAGGTCATTTTGAAAATTTGACCTCAGGTCAAGGTCATGACCTGACCGAAAAGGGTCATGTTGCATATCAGTCGATCCGTATCGTCGAGCTGAACACATCTGACGTGTTTTCACCGCTCTAGCACGTCTCTATCAAAAGTTATAGCCAAAAAACTGCTGGCGACCGTTCATGACCTGAGATGACCTCAGGGGCACACAGAGGGGTCACAGGTGCATTTTTCCTATTCAGTGTGTCATGTTTACCTATGAACCGATGTTTGAGAGCGTTTTGAACGATATTCGTCCAAAAGAGGCGCATTTCAATTTTCTCCCATTGACTTATAATGGAGAGGTCGCAAAATTGACCTGACTTTAGGTCACAGATATCAAAAATCCGAGATATACATTTTATACATACTGTTACTCATATCAATCGCTGAAAGTTTCAAAGTGATCGTTCAGTCGGTGTAGCTATAGCGAGCCTTTGAACTTTTTCTGAGGTAAGGTCACTTGACGTGACCTGGTGACCTGACCTTGAACGGCCTAGGTCTGAAATTTTCACAACATGTGCGGAAATGATGTAGTAACACGTGTACCAAAAACGGCGGCGCTGCGCGCCGCCGTTTTTGAGATATTCGCGAAAAACCTGAGGGGGGGGGGCGTAAAAACGCCCCCCCCCCAGCACGGCGCGGGTTAAGAGTCTGCATGCCCAAATTAACGTTGAGCGCGGCCGTTTTCGGTCGGTTTTCCCCGACCTTGTGGCGAAATCGCCTTATTTATTCAACCAGGGTAGGCTAATTCGCTTAACTAGGAATGAGGCGTTGAAGAGAATTATTCAAGGAATAAAGCTGTGCAAAAATATTTTTTGTATTGTTAAAACTGTATCCGCCCTCGAACGATAAATATTGTTGACCCATCAGAAACACATCTCCTGGAATGCGTTTGGACTTGGCTGGATCTAATATTAGCGAGTATCTGCTAATGCAGTTTCTTGGCTTACATAGTACGCACACAAGCAAACATACTTCCTGCCCTTGGTTATTCCTCACTTGAATGAAAATTTTGCTATAATAACTATTCCAAGCAGTTAACAGGTTTTAGTGCAGTGCCAATTCGGAACCGTTCAGCGCCGCCAGTCTCCCAGGCGGCGCCTAACCGCTGCCGCCGGCCGCCGCGCCGCCGCTCTGGCAGGGTGTTTGACTTCATATCTCTGTTGCTAGAAAAGTTGTGGACCGATTTACTTGATTCTTGCATGAAAAGATCCGCCATTCAATTCTTAGCAGATAACGAAAATTTGACGTCAATAGGGTTGGGACCTATCTGCATGCTCTGTATGTTTTGGTAGAATAAAAAAGCTCAGAATTTTTAATGATTTAATTTGAAATCACTTTGTTAAAAAAATGCCTAGTTAGTTCAGAAATTAATTATTTGTGGCTGAAAACAACTTGCTTCTGATTGGTCGGGCTAATCATGACGTCACATGTAGGTATATAACTGTCTGTATATTTGGCGCAGTTGAGACATACATTTTCTATGTATTTTCCTATGGTAAATCGGAGTGATTGGTCGTGTTTTCAGTGTCTCTTTATTTTGCGCTGGTATTGCGTGGCTAAGAAGTTTTATCAAGAATGGCATATACTAAAATGTTCCTTTAATAATGGAGCTTCAATATCTGTGAGTTTTATTGGCAAGCGAAAACTGATTTCGCTGTTATTTTATCTGGAAATTACTCATTTTTTTAGGTCAATATTCAAAATATTTTACGGGAACAAGTTGGCACTTTTCTTGATTTTTGCACTCAAATCGCGTGCGATTCAACTGTATTGGAACTTACAAAGAAGCTTGGTGATTAATTAACTGCGTTGTTATGGCACTGTTTGCAAAGCATGGATAATGAAACTCTGCCAAAGACTTAGCTACATAGCAATGCCTCAAGTAATACGCAGGAGGGACAGAATTCAGAGTCCGATCGAGAAGAATCGGTGCAAATGCTACGAAGACCAGGCAGCTCTGATACAATAGCTAGTCGTCTCACTACTCTCACTCCATAAGACCAGCTGATTCCTGACAGCACCGACTCGGATGAAAAGATGGAGCTCATCTTCCAAGCCAGAAACCAGTTCTTTGATGGAAGATGTGATGCTGCCTCTGTCTCTGCTTTGTTGGCCACTTTGGACGGGGCGGAGCTCCGCTCCTTGCGTGAGCGGTTATTCGCCTGCCTGTCATCCAGAAATAGTTCCTTCGTTTGCTGGCCGTTCCCTGATTAGGTGCAATACGGGGAGCTGTAATCAGGGAAGTAACTTTCCATATGAAAGGGGTGCAGGTGCACCCCCGTCCCCCATCCACTAGAAGTGCACCCCCATAGGCTAAGCGGCGCCCCACACGCCGCCCCACACGATTAGCTCTAGAGCAGATGGCGAGGGTGATTTCTCGGCTACATTCCATCTCGGCGTCGTGATGCTTGTGGGCTTGGAAAGCGTCCAGTCGTATGTAGGGTAGTGTAGGGGTATGGTTGAGTTCAATAAGGTCCTTACATTTGAAAGGTTTGAACAACCCGCAATCAGCACAACATACCACAAGTTAAATAAAAAACTATCAAACTCCGCCCAACTAATATTAATAAACATTACAGCCAAACTAATGGCCTATATAAAATATATCTCAAATCCTAACAGTTATCGCGGGTGATGGCGCCATGAGTTGCTATTATCCAAAACAGGTGCAAATAAACATGTTTGTATGTCCTATGTATGTTTGTTTTAAAAACGTTGCAGCGGCGCTGGGAACTGCAGTCTTAGATCTGGGTATGTTTGGCATCTGCAACTCTTCATATACACATTAACCCTATTTCGGACGGGGAGACCTTTCAGGATTTTCTTGTACAATTGCCAAACGCCGCGAGACATTCAGCTCATATTTGGTGACTTTTCCTAAATGCTCATTGCGCACATCTCAGCAAAAAAAAAAAAAATGCCGGGTCAGGTCAGGTCAGGTAACCAGAGCGGGTTTGTTGACCCCACCTCAGAAAAGTTTGCAAACACGTCAGAGCTTGAGTTTTTCACGAAGTTATTTCCTATCATCAAGTCTTCAAAACAGTACCTGCAGTATGTGTCGTTTGTATATCTCAGAATTTTTGATCTGTGACCTGAGGTTAGGTCAGAGTCGTGACCTTTACATTGCAAGCCTATGGAAAAGTATTGAAATGCGACCTGCACCTCGAGTAAACGAGTCAAAACCACCCAATTCTTTAAGAATTATGACAAATTATCTTATCTGTAATGATCCAGGTGCCATTTACTGACAGGGACACCGGAGAGGGTTATCTGAGCCGAGATCATGTGAGGTGATATCTACCATACATCAATGCTCACAATACTTACAATATT